CACACACCACAAAAAAAATATTTTAATATACTATCCCATGCATACTCCTCATAACAATATTTATGGGTTAGGTATTTTTAGACCCGTCTTTCAGATGAGGCTAAGAAATGAAGTAATTTCTTCAAAGTCAGGCAGATTGTATACAGTGAAGCCTTTGACTCAAGCTCAAGTGGATTTGCATCCAAACACCATGCTTTTATTAAATATGTAACAATCCCAGAAAATAAATTTGCTCACTGAATTATATATGAACAATGAATATTTTTATATGAGTATGATTCATGCAATACTTGGAACATACACATGTAAAAAGATGATATGTAGTTTATCTGAAATTCAAATTTAACTTAATGCCTTGCATTTTACCTGGCAACACTCTGCACATGTCAGCACGTGCCAGTTTGGACTGTGATGACAATCAGATCCAAATCCTGGCATCTTAGAAAAGCAAAAGTTTAAGTCTTGCTCAAATGACACAAACCGTCATGGCCACAGGGCTGCTCTGCTGACAACAGCTGCTCAGACCCAGCAGATGTAGCAGCCACCACAGTGAATGTTGCTGGTCACTGTGTCAAAGGAAAGAGCTCTGAGGATCTCACATTGGCAATTAAGGGCTCCAGCCCCGAAATGACCCATCGCTTCTGCTCAAAATTCATTAACCAATTCATTCTTATGGCCCCACCCCATCACACAAAAGGTAAATCCTACTTTGTTTCAAGAAAACAGAGAGCCAGACCTATTTGGTGAACAGTATAATGAAGATAGACAGACAGAGAGATATACGTGCAGTTGTAGATGTGGATATGGATATGGACATAGATATAGATGTAGATGTGGGTATGGAATAGAAAATACGAATGCAAATATATATAAATTCCATGTATGATTGTTTTTACCTTGCCTTCTTATGAAAAGTTTTAGGAAAATCTGTGGCTCTCAAAGGAAAACTATAGTTGTGGTGGAGCAGGAGTTAGAAGCCAAGTCTCATAATTTCTGGTTAAGTGTGTTTTCCACAAGAACACATTGCCCTTATAAGCCCATCATCTCTGATGGAAACTCTTATTCATTGTTTTCTCATGGCTCTTTGTCGTTCTCTCTCTTCCTCCATTGACTTTACACATTATTCAGGTTTTCTCTACTCACATGTTGCTTTCTGAATTGCTATCTTCAATCTTCTTAATTCACAGGAGCATGAGAAGATTAGGGCTCACTACGTGTCATGGCTGTGGCATTTAAAATATCACAGTTTTCAGGAAAGAATGTTCAGTCCAAGACTTATTGTCTCCTTTGTGCCACATACTTGTAAGATTTGCCCTTTTGAAAAAGAGAAAGGCACTTTAGGAAGCTTTTATGAGGAGCATGTGAAATAAAGTCTATCTTGAATCTCATGGCACTTCATTTTGTTGTTTTTTTTTGCTGTGCATGGTCAGCACATATGTGAAAGTTGCTCAAGATCACTAATCCTGAGGGAAATGCTAATCAAAATCACAATGAGATATCACTTCTCACCTGTTAGGATGGTTATTATGAAAAAATAAAATATAACAGATGTTTGCAAGGATGTGGAGAAAAGGGAATCCTTGCACACTGTTAATGGGAATGTAAATTGATCCAGTCATATGGAAAATATTATGCAGGTTCCTCAAAAACTAAAAATAGAAATACCGAGAGATCCTTCCATCCCTCTTCTAAGTATATACCCAAAGTAAATGAAACTAGGCTTTCAAAGAGATATCTGCAATCCCATGTTCATTGCGGTATTTTGCACTGTAGCCAAGATATGGAAACAACCTTAGTGTCCTTTGATGGATGACTGTATAAAGAAAATATATATCTATACAATGGGATATTATTATTCAGACATAAAAAATGAGATTCTTCCATTTGTGACAAAATGAATGTACCTGGAGGACATTATACTAAGTGAAATAAGACACACACAAAAAGGAAGAAAACTGAATACTGTCACTTATGTATGGAAGCTAAAAGAGGTGAATACACACATGCAGAGAGTAGAACGGTGATTACCAGGGGCAGGGAAGTGGGGAAATGGGGAGATGTTGGTTAAACAGTACAAAGTTGTACTAATGTAGGATGGATAAGTCTAGAGATCTAATGTATAACATGATGACTATATTTAATAACACTGTATTGAATACTGGAGGTTTCCTAAGAGAGTAGATTTCAGAGGCTCTCACCACACAAACAAAAAATGCTAACCATGTAAGGAGAAGATATTTAATTAGCTTGACTGTGGTAATCATTTCACTATGTATAGGGATATGAAATCATCATTTTGTACACTATGAATATAAACCATTTTTATTAACAAATGTACTAAAATAAATAGTTTTGAAAACTATGAAACAGTGTTAAGAAATACAGATTTCCGAGCTTACTGAAAAATACATTTGAAGCAGGAAGAGGTACTTTCATGATCAAATTAATATTCGGCTTTATTTCCAGCTTCACCAAGTGAAGGTTAGTGAGGAATTCAGTGGGCTCCAGGTTATTATTGCTTTTCCTATGAAAAAAAATGAATTAAACATAAAATGATAGTTTAAAACAATACAAGGGCATTTTTCACAGATCTGATAAAATATCCTAAAATGTGTATGGAACCTTGAAAGATCCTCAATAGCCAAAGCAATCTTGAGCAAGAAGAACAACACCAGAGACATCATACTTCCAGATTTCAAATTATATTACACAGCTGTAATCAAAACAGTATGGTTCTGGCATAAAAACAGACACATAGACCAATGGAACAGTATTGAGAGCCCAGAAATAAACCCACACATATACGGTATACTGACCACTTACAGGAGTGTCAAAAATTCACTATGGCAAAGATCGCCTGTTCAACAAATGCTGTTGGGAAAACTGGATCTCCACATGCTGAAGAATGATATCGGACCCTTGTCTTACACCACACACAAAAATCAACTCAAGAAGGGTTAAAGACTTTAACATAAGACTCATAACCAGGAAACTCCTAGAAGGAAGCAAAGGAGAAAATCTCCTTGACATTGGTCCTGCCAATGATGTTTTGGGATTTGACTCCAAAATCACAAGCAACAAAATCAAAGATAAACAAGTGGGACTCCCTCAAAGTGAAATGTTTCTGCACAGCAAAGGACATCATGAAGGAACTGAACAGGTCATGCTCTTTTAATGCTCCAATCATCCCCCGAGTCTGAGAGGATGACAGTAGCAGCACAAGAGGCTATCATTGACAGACATTAGTCTAGCCTTGTAGTTGTAGGAGAAGGTCTGGGGACATTCTCAGAACACCCTGGAGACTGTGTGGTGGTAGTTAGGAGCAAGGGCTTTGAATAGAGGCTGATTTTGTTCCAAGTTACATCTCAGCGCCTTCATACCTTGTAGTTGTGCACATGACCTTTAAACTGTCCAGGCCCAAGGATCATCATCTGTGATATTGGATAACGCCTGCCTGGCCAGTTTGTTCATGAGAATTAAGTGAGTTAAATTGTATGAAAGTGGCTGAACATGGTTCACTGCAAAATAAAAATGTGGGACAACTTGTTCAAAGGGCAGGAAAAGAATAATGTTGTTAAAAGGCACAGAGATATAAAGCTTTGTTCTTTAAAAATAGTTTATTCCATACATAATGTAACAAGAATATTAATTATACAGGGATACATATACTTACAAATCACAAAAGAATATTTTTAATGTCATATTTTTAGTAAAATAAATAATAATACTTGAAAAATGGGATACCTTGATTGATTATGAAATTTTTCTGGCCCATTTTTCTGCAAATTCACTTAAGATCATCAAAATATATACTTTACGCAACTTCATTTTTTATTTTGAGAAGAGTCTTCGGATGCAACTGTTAGTGGAGTCGAGTGTTTTGTTAACAATGATAACATAGCAACAAATTATTTTGAAATGTAAATTTTGGTACATCCAGAGGTGGTGACTCTTTTTTCAATTTTTAAACTTTTTACTGAAGTCTATACAGCTGCTGGTTCTTATGAGACAATTTATATAAAAAGATTTAACTCTTTGGAGAAATCAGTTTGGGGCAAATTTGTATTTAATTTTAAATGTAAACTTATACAATGGAATTTCGACGTTTCTCCTGACATTGCCTGTAACTCGTGGAGGCCCATCAAAACTGAAAGTGGCTTCATGATTTGTATTTAGTTAAGAACTCCTGTTTATGCATTCGACTGCTGTCTTCAATAGCAAGGAAGAATTAAATCAAAAATTGTCTTCCTTGTTGATCATTGATTCATCTGAAGCCTCATATGAAGAGAATACTCTTCTCTGTTGAATGTGACTATTTTCATAGGTTTAATTTCTATTTCTAAGCCAAATAACTACTGAAAGTATTCTAAACTCTTAGATGATTTCCAAAATTCCTGGTATAATTTTTTGCAATGTCCATGTGCACATTCTTATTTTGTAAGAACTTACTGACAATAGTTTACTGCCTGAGTGCCTACGGTTTCTGTCTTGGTGAACCAGGTAGGGAGGTAATATCTGTGCAGATGTGCCAAGAATAACTCTGAGGATGGACAGGCACAGATGTCTCAGTGTTGCTTCCACACGGAGATCATCCCGTTCTCCCAGTGCCCAGGACACTGCTGCTGTGGCTGCCATTTTCACTGGCAATCCTGGTCCCACCCTGCCCTCTCAGCCCCAAGATGCCCAGGCTGATCCAGGGATGTGGGTGTCTGGGCAGCTGGCCCAACTGTCCCCATGCACACTGCCCTCTGTGTCTGTGGGCCTGAGCCCACCTCACACCCTGAGCATGTCTGCTCTGCCCAGGTGCTGGCTCCCTTGTTTCCCTGGACTTATAAAATAAGCAAGGGATTTTGTAATGTATAGACAGAGTTGAAATCTAGGCTCCATCACCACTCATGCCACCTGTACTATCTTGCCTAAAGAATGAAAATACCTATCTCACATGGCAAGTGTGTGCACTAAGACATCACTTTTACAATCCTAGGACATAATAGGACGTCAAGAAAAATTTGTTCCAATCCCTCTTACTAAAGTGAAGTTTAAAGGAGGCTCAGCATTATTTAATTAAGTTCTGTAAATTTATTAAGCCATCATTTGATTTAATAAGTGAAATTAAATAGACAATTGAGGGTACATACCTACAACTCTAGGTTCTTGTTTAAAGACAATCTTTCTTTCATTCCAAACAATATCCAAAGTTTCTCTTTCAGCCTCTAGTTCCCTGGGCTCAAAAGAGCACAATTTGACCTCATTTGAGTTTTAAATTTCAGTGTTTTTCTGAGCCATTCAGCCTTGATGGAAGAAACTAACCTCTTGTATGATTTCTGGGGCACAGAAGTTGCGTAGAAAGTGTTTTCCACAGCTGAGATTGCAATCCCCAACAGTGATCCTGGTTAAAACCAAACTCTCTGCATAGAGAGGTATCGGTCATCCAAAAATTCCACCTAAGTCCCTTTTCCTGAGACAGGGCATAGGAGATTGGTACTCTCTCCATAATCAAATGTACAGAAGGAGAAACTGGAGCTTTGAAAGATTATTTCAAGATCACTTTGATAATGAGTAACAGAGCAAAGATTGTGAACCAAGGTCTATCTGTCTCCAAAGCTCCTGAATTATTAAGTGAAATTCCCTTTGTCTCTATTCCCCCAAAGACCAGAGCTTATTTCAGGGCTTAGATGATTTATTTTATGCCTGTATCTCAGGAGCAATCTCTCTTTTGACTCTGCAATATTAGTATTGGTTATTAACGTAGGGTGACCATTGTTACATTTGTAGGGAGGTGTGGTTCCCTGTGTCCTCTTCTCTTCCTTCTTACCTTCTCTTCTTTATTTATTTCCTCCACCCATCCATTTATTCATTCATAATTATATTGACTCTTCTATACACGTACTTACTCATTTAAGTAAATATTTGAGTTCCTTCTCTATGGTAGGCACTGTTCAAGATACTGAGAATGTGAGATAATATAATGGGACCTGATTCTTTAGAAATTCAAGGAATAGTGAAAAAGAGATACACATAAACAGTATAAAGCAAAATTGAGAAGGAGAGAGTGAAAAGACAGAGAAATGTCGGTGTTTTACTTCATATACTTCTGTGCTATTTAAGTCCTTTACCACAAGAATGCTTTGATGTAATAGCTGTATTCAGAAATGCTCGGGTCCCCAAAGTCTCACCTTGTTGTGATCTATGCAAGAACTCAGCATGGTAAGAGCTTGCCTAGAATGGGTTGAATTTTTCTTTTAATTAGTTAGGAAATAAAAAAAAAAAAGAATGAAGGAGAGTAAAAAAGAGAGGAGATCATTTGCATTTACCAAAGTCCTTCTCCTTTTTTATCTTCTTAAAAGAAGGATTTTCTTTTCATTCCTAAGAGAAAGCAGACAGACAATAGAGTCAGAAATAAGAAATGGAGGTGAATGAATTAATGGCTGACTTGCCAGAAAAATTCTGTATTTTAATGTTTTTATCTCAAAAAAAAAAAAAAAAAGAAAAGAAAAGCACCACCTTAAAGTCATAAGTAGAAGTGAGAATCAACTAGAAAATCCGGAATTACTCTTCCTTTTTGATCCCAGAAACTGGGAACTGTAACCATGTGTGATGGAAGAAACACTCTCAAATGACACTCGTGCCCCAGTTGAACGCCTATATTAGGAACAGAAGCTTTTTCTCTGTGGCTGAACTTTTCAAATCTTTCCCAGATCACCTGCCCCCGTTGACGTGCACTGAAGAAAGAGCCACCAGAAAACAGGGCCATTTCTTCCTATAATCCTGAGAATTCATTTCCCATCATGAGGCTACTGTTGCTTCTCTTTCTCCTCCTTGTTTGCCTTATCCAGATGACATCCAGTAAGCTGTGGATCCAACTGGGATGATGACATGGTGGACCACCTTGGAGCCTAGAGTAGGGCTGAATGGATTTACATCCAATGATGCACTGAAATATGTAACAACTGAAAAATATCATAGGAGAAAGGGGCATAGCATGTGCAACATACTCCATTTTACAAAGAAGAAAAGAGAAGCAAAAAGAAATTTAAAAGACTTTCACCAGATTGACTTAATTAGTTGGTAGCAAACCCATAATTCGTAATGGTGACATGTAACATTTACAGGGGGCTTTACAGTTTACAAATCATTTCCACGTGAATAAAACAATGCTAATAACAAAAGCAAATAATATCGAACACTTCCTCCTTACCAGACACCATAAAAAAACATTTAGCATACTATCCCATGCATACTCCTCATAACAATAATTATGGAGTAGATATGTTTAGACCCGTCTCACAGATGAACTTAAGAAATGAAGTAATTTGTTCAAAGTCACACAGATTGTGTATAGTGAAGCCTTTGACTCAAGCACAAGTGGTTTTGGATCCAAAGACCACTCTTTTATTAAATATATAACGATCCCAGAAAATAAATTTACTCACTGAAGTATATATAATCATTGAATATTTTTATGAATATGATCCATGCAATACTTGGAACATATGTATGTTAAAAGATGATATGTTGTTTATCTTAAATTCAAGTTTAACTGAATGTCCTGGCAACGCTGTGCGTATGTCAGCATGTGCCAGGTTGTACTGTGGTGACAATAACATCCAAATCTTGGCATCTTAGAAGAACCAAGGTTTAATTCTTGCTCAAATGGCACTAGCCCATCATGGCCACAGGGCTGCTCTGCTCACCACAGCTGCTCGGACCCAGCAGATGGAGCAGCCACCGCAGTGAATGTTGCTGGTCACTGTGTCAAAGGAAAGAGCTCTGAGGAGTCTCATGTTGGCAATTAAGGACTCCAGCACTGAAATGAGACACCGCTTCTGCTCAAAATTCATTAACCAAGCAAGCCTTATGGCCTTGCCTCACACAAAGGGTAAATCCTCCTTTGTTTCAAGAAAACAGAGAGCCAGACCTATTTGATTAACAGTCTAATGAAGATAGACAGACAGATACATATACATACAGATGTAGATGTTGATATGGATGGACATAGATATAGATGTAGGTATGGAATAGAAAATATAAATGTAAATATATATGAATTCCATGCATGATTATTTTCGCCTAGCCTACTTATGAAAAATAGGAGACTCTGTGGCTCCCAAAGGAAAAGTATAGTTGTGGTGGAGCAGGAATTAGAAGCCAAGTCCCCTAACTACTGGTTAAATGTGCTTTCCTTCAAAACACACTGCCCTGACAAGCCATCAACTTTGATGGAAACTTCTTATTCATTGTTTTCCCATGCCTGGTTTTTGTTCTCTCTGTTCCTCTCTTGACGTTAGACGTTATTCAGGTTCTCTATACTCTCATGTCGCTTTCTGAATTGTGATAGTCAACTTTCTTAATCTTTTACTATCTCCTTTCCAGCTTAACTGAGGAGCATGAGAAGATTGGTGCTAACTACGCTCCATGGCTGTGGCATTTAAAATATCACAATTTGTGAAACAACTCTTATTACACATGATATAGGAGACATAGTATTAAGGAAAGAATGTTCCGTCCAATACTTATTGTCTACTTTGTGCTACATACTTGTAAGTTTTGCCCTCTTGAAAAAGAGGAAGTCACTTTAGGAAGCTTTTATGAGGAACATGTGAAATGAAGTATATCCCTAATCTCATGACACGCCATTTTGTTTCTTTTCTGTACATAATCAACAGATATATGAAGGATGCTCAAAATCACTAATCATCAGGAAAACGCAAGTCAAAATCACAACGATATATCACTTCTTACCTGCTAGGATGGTAATTATGAAATAATAAAATATAACAGATACTTGGAAGGATGTGGAGAAAAGGTAATACTTGTACACTGTTAATGAGAATGTAAATTGATACAGTCATTACGGAAAATATTATGCAGGTTCCTCAAACACTAAAAATAGAAATATGGAGGCAGAGTCAAGATGGCTGTGTAAGCAGACTCGAAACTCACCTCCTCCCGTGGACACAGCCAATTTACAACTACTCGTGGAAAAATTACCCCTGAGACAGAACTGAAAACTGGATAAGAGGATGTCCTGCAACAACGGACAATCCTAACTGAGGTGGAAGAGGCAGAGACGCCCTTCTGGAGAGGAGAAACACCGCCTTCACAAGCCACCAGCATCATGGCCTCCGGGAGCAGCCCACAGGTACGCAGCCCTCCCTGGAGGCGCGGGGCCCTGAGCCGGGGAGCGCCCCCGCTGTGGTCATTTTGTGGACCCAGCACAATCGAGACCAGCGGCATAATATTTGCCTGCTACTAAAACATTGGGGAGTACCCCCAGAAAACCCGGTTCACAAAGAAACTAAAACTGGCTCTTAAAGGGCCTGCGTGCAAACTCACCCGTTTCAGAAAGCATCTTAAAATCACCAGAAAAAAAAGGTGCACAGTGCTTTGGTGACAAGAGACTCACCTAATAGACCCTGAGTGCATCTCGGTGAGGGGTGAGACCTCTCCAGGGACTGGGACATTGGCGG